TGGCGCAGACAAGCCCTTCCGGCTCCAAGCCTTCGTTAACGGTGGCCGCCTCCTTGCTCTGAAAACACCCTCCGGCGCAGCCCCCACTACCCATGCTGAGGTTCGGGAGAGTGTCTTCCATACCTTTAGTGAGCTTCAGAACGGCCTTCCAAGCGTTGCTGCCGGAGTAGGACTTGTTTATGCCCATCCTGCCGCCAGATTTGAACTGAACTTCTCGCTGCCGCTTGTCGTTAGGAAAGGAGAAGAAGGCAGAAAAGGCCTTCAGCTCGGAGTCGGAATCAGCTTTTTGTAGACTACCTGTATCAACATTCATATATTTTCCTATGTTCAAAAAATAAAAAGCAAGAGGGCTACTGAAATCCATTCTCAATTCATCCATCACCCTCGACGCTTTGTAGGGTTGTTAACTTTGACGTTCAGTTAAGAGTATCCACCACTGATTGGCGCGGACCATCCAACTTCCCATCCTCCACCAAAACCAAATAAATAGGTAACCAGCTAACAACGCCTGGAACTTGACAGCAACGACCATTCCGCAGCTTGGCCAGCGCATAACTTGTGCATTCTATTGATTTATCCCGCAGTTCAGTTCCAGTACATTCTGTGCGACAGAGAATTACCTTCTTCGACCCTTTCTCGCCCAGACACCGCCCGCTCTCCTTGGATTCGTGGCAACCTCACCGCAAAGGCCACCATGGCCGGGTTCTACCAGCAACAGCAGCATCAACCGTACGGTGTCCCTCCACAGCAGCCCTCGGCGCAAAATCTCCAGTTCTATCCTTCCTCATATTCGTCGGTCTCGGGCCATACAACGCCCGCACAGGTCTCCTACGGCGGCTATGGAGGTAGCTCGTCATCATCTGCCTACCCGCCATTAGGCAGCGGAGGGGCGTCCTTTGGCGGATCAGCTGGCTTTGGTGGAGGTGCCGATGCTGTCAGCGGTCGAATGGGTGAGCAAGGAGGACTACGGATGGGATGGCTGGCTGCGTTTGGGACAGAAGGCTATGAGGATGAACCTCCGTTGCTCGAAGAACTAGGGGTAAATTTTGAGCATATACGCACGAAGGTAGGCGCTCACATCTGCTTCGTTTGTTTCAATTCAGTGCGCGCGTATGTTTTTCTGCTTTGCTGACACCCAATGCTTGATAGACACTCTCGGTGCTAAATCCCTTCGCACGAATCGACCAGCACCTGATGGATGATAACGATCTCTATGGCGCCCTCCTCTACATTCTGCTGTACGGAACATTCCTCCTGTTATCAGGAAAGGTATTCTACGGCTACATCTACGGCGTAGCTGTTTTCGGATCAGTAATTATCCACCTCATCCTCAGCCTGATGTCACCTACCCTTGACCCGTCGACAAACGGAGTATCCCACGACTCCACAGGCATGAACATGAACATGAATCCTTCAGACGCTGGCCATGGCCATGGAGCCCAAGGGGGCCATTTCTCATCGACTCTTACTTTCCCTCGCTCCGCCAGTGTGTTGGGATACTGTTTTCTACCCCTTGTCCTAACCAGCCTTGTGGGAATCTTGATACCCATGGACACCGTATTCGGCTACTTACTTACCACCGCCGCTGTTGGGTGGTGCACGTACAGCAGTTCAGGCATGTTTTGCGCCGTAGCTCGAATGCGTGGTATGAGATTCCTAGTCGCATACCCTCTAGCACTGTTTTATGTCGTTTTCGGGATTATGGGTATCTTCTCTTCTAGAGGTGGCGGCACTCTAGTCGCTAAGGCTACTGGGGGTTAATACAGAAGAAAGGGAAAGCGTTCCACAAAATATATGACATTATATGACCCTCTTAATTACTCGTCTTACCTGGGTGAAAGCTGTAAGCATCGGCTTTGGAGCTGTTCAGTATAGAGTAACATCGTTTCAGGGGAGGTCTGGAGGTCCTAGGAAAATGGATGAGGCCAGCTATGTGTATTTGGGATGGCACCTAAAAATATGAGATATCCTGTGGCTATTTAATTATATATAAAGCATGTTTATCTCAAAATCCCCGTACCCCTACCTCGTCGACTCCTTCTCCCGGCTGTGGAAAACTGGCACGTAACCCACCTGCCTACCTGCTATTGTGTTCGGAGAAGTATGAACAGATGCTATAGATGGTTACAGCCTGGTAATTGGGCTGTTTTGGGCAAGGAGAAGAGCTGCTATATTTCTCTAAATAATAGCTTGATAAGGAGTGAGAATCCATATCGCCTGCAATGTACTAGAGCAGGGCCCTAAATCCTTCTTCTAGAAACATATCCCATCAGCTGGCTAGCAGCGCTATTAAGGGACTAAAAGGACGGCATGGGATATCCTAAACAAAAGAAAAAAAGGGGAAAAAGAGCGACAAGATGTTTATGTATCTTCATACAACGACAAGCTTAGAAATCCAAGTCCACGTCAATGTTAAAGGTGATTGGCATGTTGAAGTTGATATCTCCCATACAAAATTGATACTATTTTTGAGAGGGGTTAGTACCCAGATATCATTGATACAATAGCCACAAACTGAGAGACAATAACTTACGCCATTATCGTTGTTGCAGCAGATGACTTTCTGGTCGCAGCTTGTCCTCGACTTGATACAGGTGTTTTCTAAGAAAACATACTGGTTAGCATAGAGCTGTGAATGGTGGAAACTGGATGAATTGATGACATACTTCCATCCTTCTCATCACAGCAGTAAGAGTCACCAGTCTTGCATAGATTACCCTGCTTAGGACTAGCTTTGTGGACACGGTGAGCTTCACTATTGGAGGCGTCCTCTGAAACCGATGGTGAAGGTGAAGGGGAAGATCCCATAGTCTCTTGAGGGCTAGCCTCAGCCTGAGTTGGAGATGCCTCAGACTGGGAGGCCATTCCAGAGGCGGCTGAGGTCATTTCGGGGGCAGCCTGGCTTTCAGTAGCTGCAGCAGTCATCTGAGAGGCAGCCTGGTTTTCAGTTGCGGTGCCAGTCATCTCAGGGGCAGCTGATGTCATATCAGTAACGGAGACAGACGTCTCAGAGGGGGTTTGGGTCTCCGAGGTCTGGGACTCAGAAGTAGTTTGGGCCTCAGAAGCAGCTTGGGTCTCAGAGGCATCTTGGGTTTCAGTGGCAGTAGCAGATATTTCGGGGGTAGCCTGGCCTTCAGAGAGGGCAGCAGAGGCCTGAGTTGGAGTAGCCTCACTTGAAGCCTGTTCCTCTGTGCCAGTCTCCGCGGCTCCAGTTGATAATGGAACTGGGACAGCCTCAGAAGTTACGTTTCTAGCACGGGGAGCATTGAAAGCTCGGGCTTGAGACTCAGCAACAGGGCTTAGGGTTGTGCTGCCAGGGCGGACTGGGGAGGCTGTCACTAGAGAAAGGTAAAAGTAGAAGGAAACAAGATAAGTAGCGTAGAAAAACTTCATTTTGGAAAGCAGGTAAAGGTAGATGTGACAATGCTTTCTTGAAGTTAACGAAAGCAGGTAAAAGGAGTGTTGAATTTGCTGCTGATTGCTGATTATACCCTTCCCATCCTTTTATCGAGGGAAGATGTCCTTTATCTATAACTGAAGGTCGACTGAAAATGCGGTGCATTGTTCACCAAATGAACAACGAGTGAGAGAAAGCAACATTCGACCAGCTTGAGTCTCTTCCCCTCTCATCCCCCGCTCTGAGTTATCTGTGTAAGACCGATGCCTGAATAGTGGCACAAGAGTCTAGAGCTGGTGAATACCTTCAAGTTCTATAGAAAGTGGTGGTATTCCGCGTCGTGGCCATGATCTGTTGGCTCCACCATTTTCAAATTGACCATTGCCTCTCGATAACGGAGTCACAGAACAATCTCTTCCCCGCTTGCCTGGCCATGGAGGGGAAGTTGAAGCAACACAGAAGTAATGTGGTGACCCGAATATGAGATTTTTTTCTTTGATAGATTGCTGTCATCCCTTCCCGGGATTTGGAGATGTCTTCATGTGTCAAAATGCTCCAAAACCTGTTCCTGAAATTTTCAAAAAGAGACTCTTCTATACAATGGAGTATAGATACGGATATAGAGATGAGTAGACAGGTACTTTCATACCATCCATCCTCAACCGCGGGTTACACAGCCATGGTTAGCTCCCATGTTCCTGCAGGCTGATGGCTGCGGATAATAGGCATCCAAGTTACTCCCTGAGGAGACGGAGACTAGCAATAGCTAATTAGGCCCAATTGAGGGGTTAAAGTGTTCGAGTCCATGGTAACCAGAGATATTTTTTTTTTTTTTTTTCTTTTGGTGAACAATGGTGTCACATATGGTGGACGAGAGCTCTCGATTTGCCAGCTATGATCCTCGTGGAACGCACGTCCAACCCGACGACGGTGGAACATTGGCCAACCATTTCGTCCGAAAACCGACAATGCAGAGCCTATCAGATCCAGGTCCCTCCATCCTTAATCATAATTATGTCATCTTTGCTACCGCTGCAGAAGTTCGACCAAACCTCAGTGAGCTAGTGGTGACGTACCTTTACTATGCTCCGGAAGGTTCATTCCGGGCTAACTTGGCTTGGTGCTACCAGCTAGCATCGGGTGGAACAAGATGACAGTATTGGGTGGTTGACAACCAGGCGTGCACAGTGCTAGACAGAGATTGTTCCATGGTTCGAAATATGTTATTCCTGGGGCGCCATAGTCCTACATAGCATCAGCTCATAGTTAGCCTAGACGAGCTCTAGAGGCGAAAAGGATGCAATAGCCAGGACCGGGTGTAGCCATTGGAATGTCCGAGTCATGTTGGATGGGAGGTTGTAGAGATGGTATAGGCTCCAGAGCATACCAATTCGTCCTTGGAAGGGGGAAACCATCCTCTCACAGCTGAGGAGAAGTATTGCCTGGAAAAATCAAGGCAAATAACCCCCCCATGGTAATATAAAAGGCTCCTAAACATCCAGTGAAGAATCTCCCTTTCCATCATCAATCACAACAAGCAGACATCAAACCCTTCTCTTCTCAAGTTGATTGAGTCCGAACACACTACTCCATTTGAGTCAACATGCAACTCACACAAGTCCTTGCCGTTGCCATTTTGGCTGCTGGTGTCTCTGCTGGCCACAGGCCTCACCGCCCACACAGCAACAAGCTTGAGATCCAAGACGTATGTGGAAGTTCTATGTTCTCCATGCACCTAATATGCACTTAATTCCATGTCATATCGTCTGGTATTGACCCAACTGGCATCTGCAGATCAAATGTCAATCCGGTGCCCCTTACTGCTGCTCTCCCGAGAAGACCAAAGGAAGCACCTGCACCAAGTTGACCGGCAGCTCAGTCAACTGTGACAGCGTTGTTGTCTGCTGCAACAACAACGGAGACGTGAGTATTCCTCCCCATGGACTCATGACTTGGTGTCAAAATTGACCCGCGAGGCTTTGGCGATATAGAAGCATTCTCCTCAGACCTGCTCTGCCAGCGTTGCGCACCCAATCACTTTCGTTGATGTCGATGCTAAGTTCAGAATCGACCACAACAAGGTGTCCCACAACAGGGTCAACGCTAAGCAACGCCGCGACGACAAGAAGGACTATGGCAAGAACGACTATGGCAAGAACGACTATGGCAAGAACGACTATGGCAAGAAGGACTATGGTAAGAAGGACTATGGCAAGAAAGAGTACGACCCCAAGGACCACAAGGACTATGGCTATAAGGACTATGGCCACAAGGACTATGGCCACAAAGACTATGGCCACAAGGACTATGGCCATGATGACTATGGCTACAAGGGATATGACGACAAGGAGTATGGATACAGGGGATACGACGACTACTACTAGATCGAACCGCCCATAACCAAGCCTCAGCCAAGTGTATGGGTTCACTGTGGTCAAATTCGATCTGAGCCGTCGGGCGCTTTTGGGAATCCCCAACGCCATATCCTCTGCCTCCCTCGCAATGAATCTGTGCATGGTGCTGGGTATATAATAAGGGGCCTCCCCTCGTTGCTTTGCTTTTTCATTTCCTTTTCTGCTTCTTTGCCCTGAAAGTCCTAATGGAAGTAATCCTTCAACCCCAAATGGGCAGAAGCTCTTCGGTTTTAAGTTCGGCAGAGTGTGACGGTGGATCTAATAGCCTGGGATCTAACCCCTATTAGTTTATGTTCGCTCATTTCTCTAATAAATTCTTCTTTCGTCCAAATTCTCCTTGTATCCGAATCCTTCTGAGTATATTTGACCCTTCTAAATTGCAGTCGACCAAGTTGATCCGTAGGAAAGATGTTCCCATAAATTAGTACAAGAGTATTGTGTTGTATCCATATTCTTATCTGCATTAGTGTGTATTGGTATTCGTAAGGTTCGTCAGATACTCGTAATTATTCACATAAAATTCGTATCTAGTACGGAGCTGCAATCAAGACGAGTTCATGTATGTCTCTCCTTTCTTCGGAGCCCAGTTTTGAAGCCACTCTCTCGCCTTGAATGGGTCTCCGCTGGCGGACTCCATGGCTGCTATGCACCATTCTATTTCGTAACTTTCTGTACGGGAGCCCGCGTCAGCAACGACTTCAGCTGCCAAAATTTCAGCTAGCTCTCTCCGTCTTTCAGTAGCCTCGTCTGTACAGAAATACAGAGGCGAGGTATTAACAACTGTAGGTCCAATAGAAACGCTTTCAACCAATGGTTTGATCATTGTAAGGATCTCTTTAGAAGCGAGTGTAGTCCCGGGCTCAATCTTGCAACTGGCACGGCCAGTTTTGCAGTATTTATTGCGGCACCATGGTTTTCCACATCCAGTAAGCATTTGAGAAAGGTACTTCCGCTCAATACGACGGCGAAGTGCCTTGCCCTCAGGGTCATAAACATCTACGTATAAAGGACCGAAGCATACTTTGCAAAGCCCAAGGGTATCGTTCGTCAAATCTCTTTGCTTATAGCTTGGACCATTAATTGTTCGGCTGCAGTTGACATTGAGGCATATTTGTGGGGAAGGCCGCGAGACTCGGTCAAGTTCATGATGGCGTAAATGGGTATTCATATCCCGAAGACGAACAGTTTTGTGGCATAAATGGCAGTCTGTTGTTCTTCCACCATCAACCAACTCGTGTGGAGTAAGGTTGGAAAGGACTACTTCTGGGTCTAGAACGTCTGGGTCTGATTCACCTTTTTGGGGAACAACAAGATGGCAGAATTGGCACAGTATAAGCTTCTCAGGGCATACTGTAGTCCGATGCTGGGCTAGGTCCGGAAGGTTCTTGCAAACATATTTGCAATCCCGGCAGGTATGGGCAGAGTGGAATACAGTATTATGTCTATCCTCACTCGCGTCCCCAGTTCCACTTGAATCATCATGGGGACAATGCCAATGGTTTTCCCATTCGGGTGATCGTTTCTTGAACACTTTCTTGCATTTTGGACACACCACATTGTTTCGAAGACAAAAATTCTCGTGTAGGATCATGGTTGCTTTTGGAACCCATTGACGACAATTCGTGCATTGCGTTTCGTCAGAGCCACGAGCACTTTGGTCTAGACCATCAGCTTCCGCCGCGGCACTAGGTATAGCAGAGGTGGTTACCCGTAGCTGGAACCCAATCGGCTGCGTGTGGCTTGGTTCTGTAGAACCATTCTGCCCTCTCAGTTGCGTATGAGATGCATGAATCGAAACATATAAACAATCCGCATCGTGCAGTTCCACGTTCGTAGGTTTGATCTCAATCACTTTCGGAAAGTTGGTCGAGAAATTTCCCCATACATGTTGGTCATTGCGAGGTCGAGCTCTTTGCCTGGCTGAAAATGGAGATGCAAAGATATCAACAGCCACCTCATCATTATCCAGGTCCAGTTCTAAGATTAGACGTTTTGACCGTTCCCAGGCCTCAAGCTCATAATCCACATAGTCTCCCGGAAGCACTTGTCCATTGATTTCCTGTCCATCTGTGATTTTACCACCGATCGAACTTTGCGCACCGTTTTCGGGCGCTCGAGTTTTCTTTGCAAGCCTCCTTTTCAAGCTCTCACGGGCTTGATCCTCATCCATGGGTTCTATATCCACTTCTAAATCCGTATCGACAATACATATTGCATTCCCTTCCGGCTGCACCTCGTCAATGAGGAACTGCATAGTCTCACTTCTGTTGGCCACCACTGTCAAAACCTCCCCCACGGAGAGTGTTGTATAATTGTCCCGCAACTGCCGCTCTAGCAAGGCTTTCCAATCTTCCACATCATATCCTGCTTCTAATGGCCTCAATCGTACATAAGATCCCTTAGGAAGCTGGGCAGCGTGAACCGTGATCGTAGGTAGTGGATCTCTCTGGGTGGCGTCTAGCTCAACATCAAAGCTATGGTCCTCTATACCAAGGCTTTCACGAAGGAACGGACTTAGGGAGACCTCATTATCATCAGCAGAGAACTCCCTAATTCCTGAATGCACCACTCGCCCATTAATAGGGTTAACGAGGCGGAATGTCAGAGGATGGGGGAGCTCTCGTTGTCGTGCATCGTTGCTACCGATGGAACTGTGAGAGTTGAGGTCGACAGATAAAGGATTTTCCTGCGTAGGAGACGGGATAGTTCGAACGGCAGCGAGTATCTGTTCAAGAGCTGTTTGTGGTAAAGTGATCTTGTCTCCGGTGAGCTTCGGAGTCTTATTCGGCGGCGAGACAGCAAGCTTCCTGCTCCACGAAAGCCCCTCCATATCTCTGAACCCAGGCCTAATACTGATCGATGAAACAAATTCCTGTAAATGAGGGAAAAGAAATCGTCGTGTCTGACTGCCACAGAGTGGCTCCAAGCTGTATTATAACATGATCCGCCACCTGTTGCGAGTGCGTGGTCAACGATCCTCTTCGAGAGACTGTCAGCGAAGTTCATGGAATTGTCCCGATGATGTAATCACAGCTATTAATAAGCTGTTTAAACATTAAATGTGGTCCGTGCATGCGTACCTGACGCTGACTCAGCAGCTTAAAGAAAATTTAAGGTAAAAAAGCCAATCAAAACTCAAAACCAAGGTATGGTCTATGAACGTGAAATTAATTCACTGAGAAGATACATCTACATCTTCCTAAATATATACATAATAAATTATAAAAATAGCGGTGTTTATCATAGAGGACCAAGAAAGGCATAGATCTCATGTGGTATTTCATTCCTCAGCCCTCTCACCGAACAAGGCAGCCAAAACTCTCTTGCTCCACTGGTGCATTGGTGGGCGTTCTGGCCTTCGTTGTTTCTGGTCGTAGACCATCTTAGCCAGCTGCTTGTACTGGTAAGTGGAGTCCATATCGTATCTGATGCCGTGGTCCGAGTCAGTAAACCACTGAGTAGTCAACTTGTCTGCAGTTACACCGCCATTCATCAAGGTGTTAGAAAGGACAGCAGCGTTTTGGAAGTGGACATTGTCGTCACAGCCGTCAGCGTTTAGTTCAACGGTCTTCATGTAACGCTCGGTGTACATGCTGTCATAGAGTCTGAAATCAGAGACAGGAGCAGTACTGATGCCAAAAGTGAATACACCACTGTCAGTCTCGAGGGTCTTAGCGGTCAAGAAACCGCCATAGCTCCATCCCCAGATTCCAATATGGTCCTTATCAGCCCAACGGTTTTTCAGCAGCTCCTTGGCTGCAAAGACCTGGTCCTGAGGTTCGAGGAAACCGAGACGCTTAGCTACGGCGCTGCGGAACTTGCGGCCCTTGTAGCCGGTTCCACGGTTGTCGACAGTCCAGGTAACGTATTCAAGCTCAGGGTCAGATGTGATGTAGGACTTGAAGTCCAATGAATTCCATGCCTGGCTGACCTCTTGGGCGCCAGGGCCACCATACGGAGTGAAGAGGACAGGGTACTTCTTGTGTGGGTTGAAGTTAGGTGGCAGGCGTTGCTTAACATTGAGGGTTTCACCAGATGGAAGCTTGATCTCAAAGAAGCTAACCTTGGGGAGCTTGTACTCCTTCAGCTTCTCGAGCAATGCATCATTGCTAGTGATCGTCTTGAGAGGCTTCTTACTGTCCTTAGTGGAGTAGAGTTCTTGGTATGGAACATTTGGGCCTTGGTAGGACAGGATATAGTAGCCACCCTTGGCCGAGAAGGATGCAGTGTAGTACGCAGCCTCCTTATCGTTGACGAGAGGGGTCATGACCTTTGTGTCATACGAGACAGAGTAGACGTGTCGGGTGGTGCTGTGATATTTGGTGGAGGTGAAGTAGATCAGCTTCTTCATCGTGTCAACCTTGAGAATGGCAACGACTTCCCATTCTCCCGTTGTTAGTGCAATCTCCTTTCCTCCATCAACCGGGTAGAGGTAAATATGTGCCCAGCCAGAAGCATCAGAGATATCGACGTAGTACTCCTTGCCGTTAACGTCTCCGATATATGACATAGACAGGAGGTTGTCGATCCAGCCGTCGGTGCCATCTCTTTCGCGAATAACCTTGGACTCCTTTGACTCGACCTTGACGCTGACAATCTTTTCTCTATCCTGGACACGGTTGAAGGCACGGTATGCTACACTATCGTGGCCACTGCTGAGCCAAGCAACCTCACCAATCACAAGGTCGTTTTCCGGGAACGCAGTAACTGGGATAGTGGTCTCCTGGGATGAAGCAATGTTTAACAAGTGGAATTGCACGGTTGGGTTCTTCGCAGAGACTTTAGGGTAGCGGATCTCCAGTTCCCTTGGGTAGGCAGGGGCGATCTTTTGCTTGTTCTTGTAGTACGGAATAGTGTAGGTTGGGACTCCAGTCTCGTTGAAGCGGAGGTAGGCAAGGTATTCACCATCAGGTGAGAACCAAAGAGCGAACCGGTCTCCGAAGATTTCTTCCTCGTATACCCAGTCAGGG